GCCTGCAGCTCCCGAGGCTGGGGACATCACATCACCAGGTGGGACCTGTCCCAGGGATCCACGTGTGGATGGAAACCCATGGGACACCAGCAACCCCCCCAGAGCAATGCCCTCACCACCTTCTCCAGGCCTAGACCCACATTTCCCCCTCATTATCCAGGGAATGCTGCTCCCTGAGGAGGGGAGGAGCTGTCTGTGATGCTCAGCCCCAGTGTCCATGCCAGGAGGAGCTCCCAGTGTGGCAATGGTGGAGCTCATGTGGCCTTGAGGGACAGGGGACAGTGATCCCTGAGGAAGGGTCCCTAAGGAAAGGTCCCTGAGGAAGGGGATGAGCTTTCAGGGCTGGATGAGGAGATTGGAGATGCTCAGCCCTCAGTGTCCATCCCAGGAGGAGCTCCCAGTGTGGCAATGGTGGAGCTCATGTGGCCCTGAGGGACAAGGGACAGTGCTCCTGAGGCTGGGAAGAGCTTTCAGGGCTGGATGAGGAGAGTGGAGATGCTCATCCCCAATGTCCATTCCAGGAGGAGCTCCCAGCCCTGTGCCCTGGGACGTGGGGTGGGCTGAGCACTGTGGGAGGACCAGGGCTCAGGGGCTTCCCCAGCTTGCAGGATCTTTCATCCTCCGTCACCACAGCCAGGCCAGATCTGCATTTGCAGCAGCCCACAGAAGCTGCCTCTGTTGTCTTATTTTTGTTATTTTTGAGAGGATATTTTAGCGCTGAGCACATTCCCTCCTGTTGCCATGGCAGCCGTGACAGGGGTTATATACCGTGAGAAAAATACCAAAATTAATGAGTGAGTGAAAGAGCAGCCAAGAGAAAAACAAGGTTAAAAAAAGAGTTAAAACAGTAATAAAAACAATCTCCCAATAATTTGGCAGCGAGCATCCCACAGGCAAGACAGGCGGCGAACACGGGAGCCCCGCGGCTCCTCGCTGGATCCCAGCTGGGGCTGGCTGCCCGCAGCCTGTGGCCAGAGCACTAGTGCCCGTGGCCAGAGCACTGCTGCTGAGGGCTGTGCTGGATCCCAGCCCTTGGCCAGAGCATTGCTGCAGTCCCAGGGATGCTCCAGATCCCAGCCCGTGGCCGGAGTGTTGCCGTGCTCCCAGGAATGCCCTGTATCCCAGCCCCTGGTCAGAGCACCGCTGCCATCCCAGGGATGCCCTGGATCCCAGCCTTGGCCGCAGTGTCACTGTGGTCCCAGGGATACTCTGGATCCTGGCCCATGGCCAGAGCACTGCCATGCTCCCAGGGATCCTCTGGATGCCAGCCTTGGCTGGAGCATCACTGCAGTCCCAGGGACACACTGGATCCCAGCCCATGGCTGGAGCATTGCTGTGGTCCCAGGGCCACGCTGGATCCCAGCCTGTGGCCGGAGCATTGCCACACTCCCAGGGTCACACTGGATTGCAGCCCATGGCCAGAACATCACCATGATCCCAGGGACACACTGGATCCCAACCCGTTGCCAGAGCATCACTGCGATCCCAGGGATGCTCTGGATCCCATCCCATGGCCAGAGCATCGCCATAGTCCGAGGGATGCTCTGGATCCCAGCCCGTGGCCAGAGCATCACTGTACCCCAAGGGCTGTGCCAGATCCCAGCTGTGGCCTGAGCATTGCTGTGATCCCCGGGCTGCACTAGATCCTGGCCCCTGGCTGGAGCATCACTGCAGTCCCAGGGATGCTCTGGATCCCAGCCTGTGGCTGTAGCATTGCTGTGGTCCCAGATACGTGCCAGAAGTCAGCCTGTGGCTGGAGCATCACCACGATCCCAGGGACACACCAGATCCCAGCCCGTGGCCGGAGCATCGCTGCCATCCCAGGGCTGTGCCGGATCCCAGCCCGTGGCTGGAGCATTGCCACGGCCCCAGGGATGCCCTGGATCCCAGCCCATGGTGAGAGCATCACCGCATTCCCAGGGACACACCAGATCCCAGCCTTGGCCGGAGCATAGCCGCCATCCCAGGGCCACACTGCTCCCACTCCATCCCACCGACGCTCCGGATGGGGCTGCGCCCACCCAGCTCCTTCCCCCGCAAACCTGCAGCCCTCGGTGACGCAGGAGGCGAGCGGAGGAGAAGTTCTTTAATGTGCTCATTTCCTCGCATTTGGGTTTTGAGGATCTTTTTGTTTTTAATTGTAGAAACAAGCGGATTGTCAGAACATCTGTGTTATTAGCATTTGCTGCCCAAATCCGAGCTGCTGCTTCTCCTGCGGAGCCCAGAGCTGATGAGAGAGAGAACAGAGGAGCCTTTGAACTCCTTGCAGCAGACGGCAGCCAGGTTGCTGCGTGTGCGTGTTGGGGAGGGGGTATTTATTCTCTTGTAAGGTTCATTTGCTCTCCGTGTTTCCCTTTCTTCTCGCTTTCCCAGAGATTTAGCTGGATGCTCTTCCCTCGCAGGCTTTGTTCTTCTGACAAGGCCCCACCGGCAGCAGGGAGCAGCTGCCTGTGTGATGCCAGGACAGGCCAGCACGGGGCACCTGGAGCAGCCCAGCACGGGGGACCCGGAGCTGGGGGCAAGGCAGAGCCTCCAGCAGCAGCTCCGGGGGTGGTGGCACTGCCAGCCCTGCAGGGGCTCACCGAGTAACTCTGCAGACAGAGCTGCAGCCTCAGGGCTTCTTGTTGCTCAGACTGGCTCTGCTTTCTGGGAATGGTGAAGACAAGGTGAGGATGGGTGACTCATCTGGAGCTGCTACATACACGGGGTGGAATTCTTCCCTGGTAGGGTGGTGAGACTCAGGTTGCCCAGAGAAGCTGCGGATGCTCCATCCCTGGAAGTGTTTAGGGTAAGGTTGGATGGGGCTCGGAGCACCCTGGGATAGTGCAAGGTGCCCCTGCCAGACAAGGGTGGAATTAAATGGTCTTTGAGCTCCTTTCCAGCCCAAACCATTCTGGGATTCTACAATAACGCTCAGGAGAAGGAAGTACAGGGAAAAGCAAGCTTCCTGTGTTGTCAGAGGGCAAGGAGCACTTTGGGAGGGGCATTCAAAGGCACTGGGGTGGAGGAGGAAAGCAGAGATGGATGAGGCAGCCCTGGGATACCAGGCCAGCAGGGGCCTGGACACGGTGTCCCCCCGGCTCCCCAGGCCACTGCAGAGGCTCTGCCAGGCTGCTCCCCTGGGCTGCACAAAGGTGGCTCCTGATGCCAGGCCACATTTCCCCTGCATTCCTAGAGCCTGGACCTGTCCCTCAGAAACATGTGTGATCAGAGGCTGAGGTGACAGTCACGGGTGTCCCACAAACCAGCGGCATCCAGTGATCCCTGTACGTGCCCAGCTCCCCGGCACTCCCTGTGCCGCTGCCCATCGACTCCTTCACTGCCCCGTGACTCTTGTGAAATGCAAACCTTTGGTCCCCAGCAATCTCTAAAGTTTGCTGTCCCTGCTCCACGGGCAGCCTCAGATCCACGGGGTCACTCTTTCGGTTTCTCCCTTCTCTCCAGCTCTCTGTCCCCCCAAGGAGGGCTGCCAGTTACTGATCCATCAAATCTCCCCTTGTCTCCGGAGAATTTCCTTCCCTCTCCTTGCCCAGCTCAGGCTGGATCAGCAGGGCACAGCCTGACAAACCCCACAGCTCCTCTCCCTGCCCCAAAGGTGGGCTGTGACCTTCCCTGGCTTCTCAATTCACATCTCCTGCTAAATTGGCTTCATGTGAATTGACACTCGGAAAAAAAACCCTGCACATACACACGGAGGAGCCGACATCTCTGGAGGAGCAGAAAGTCTGGGAGGAGAGCTGGGGTTGACTAGCCAGCCCCCTTTTCCTGCCCAGCGGGATGCAGCCCTGCCACGGCCTGAACCCGCTTGTTGCTGGGGAAAAGCGGGGAGATTTAGAAGAAAAGCACGGCAATTTTGGGGGGGAAAACGGGGCGATTTAGGGGGTGAGATAGAGCCAGGCTGCTCCGAGCAGGCAGGCGCAGCCTCTAGATGGTGCAGTCATGCAGCCGAGCTGAGCATGTGTGCAGCGAAGGGCGCTGCGCAACAGGTTGGCGTAGCTCAGCGGGGAGACGCGCTCCCATCCTCGCTGCGGCGGAGCGGGAAGGACTTTCCAGCATCCTGGCGAGAAATCCGCGCCGCAGCCGGCCCGGAAAGCGGGTGAGGGGCAGCGCCACGGGCTGCGAGACCCTCGGAGGGTGCTGAGGGTTCTGGCGGGGTCGGGCTGCAGCTGCAGCCCCCGGCACGGAGCGCGGCCGCTCCTTGCAGGAGCGCGGAGGCGGCGGAGGCAGCACGGGAAGGGGCAGCCCTGGATGGAACGCGCTGTCCCCAGGCCCCGGGGACCTGGCTGGGCCATCCGAGGTGCCGGGTGAGGAGCCAGCTGAGGGAGAGCAGCTTGTGAAAGCATCGCAGGGCCGCTGGGAGCTCGCGGTGCTTTGGGAGCCGCAGGTGCTCCGTGCCTGCTGCGCCCCGACACCCTGCGATAAATAAAGCCGTGATTCACCGAGGTGTGCCGGCTCCAGCCCCGGCCCCGCAGCCAGCAGGGCGGCTCTGCAGCCTGCCCGCAGCCCTGCTGGGCTGGGGGGCCGGGGAGGGTGGGCACAGCCCCCGCCGAGCTCGGTGCCACACGGAGGGACCTTCCCGGCTGCGCTGGCCCGGTCCCTGACCCTGTGCACGGGGCTGTGGGGCTGTGAAGCGCGCCGGCTGGAAGAATAAACGAGCGAATTAATTATTAAGAGCACCGAGAGGGGAGTGAGAAGGGAGACCCGAGCCGCACGTGTGGGGGCGCGGAGCGGAGGGGTCCTCGGGGTGAGGGGATCCGGGGGACCGCGGGGACCCCCCGTCTCCCCGGGCACGGCGCTGGGCGCGGTGCCGGCAGCCCCGGGCCGGGCGGCTCTGCCCGGCAGCCGCTGCCCGCTGGTCCCGGCAGCCCGGCCGGGCTCGGGATCTGATAAGGAGCCGGAGCTCCACCTCCCCGTGGTGGCGGCGGCGAGAGGCGGAGGCAGCGGCGGGCGGGGGGGGAAGGGGCCGTGCCTGCGCTGCGCTTCGCCTGCACATCCTCACACACACCGAGGGACGGAGGCGGGCACGGACCGAGCTGCCCACCGGGGCTGCCTCCAGCCTGAGCCGCCGCTCCGCCGGAGGAGCCGCAGCCCCGGCCCGGGGAGGGGGGCGGTTCCCACGGGACATTTATATTTTTTTTGCCCCCCCTCCCCATTTTTTTCTTTTTTTTCTTTTTTTTTATTTTTTTCCTTTTTTTTTTTTTTTCTCAGTGTTTTTTTTCCATTTGATTTCATCCGTGGATAACGCTCGAGAGGAGCCGGGGGGGTGGGGGGAGCGCGGTCCCGGCGGGAAGGAGGCGATGGAGACGCCGCGGGACCAGCGCGCAGGGGCTCGGCACGGAGCGCAGCGCCGGCACCATCCAAGTAAGAGCTGCGGAGGGGCCGGGACCCCCGCCCGCAGCCAGGCACAGCCGCGGGGGGGTGCGGGATGCTGCGCGCCGGAGCTCGGCGCTGTGCGGGAGCGCGGGGCCGGGCGGCGGCGGGAGCGGCGCTGGCGAGCATCCCGCTCCCGAGCATCCCGCATCCCTCCGCTCCGCTCCGGGCTGCGCGGGGCTCCGCGCACAGCGGGGCGGCTCCCGCTCGTCCCCGGTCCCGCCCGGCGCTGCCACTTGTTGTTGTGCGGCGCGGAGCGGAGCGCGGCCAGCCCCGCACAGCGCAGGGCGGGCGGGGGGTGCGGGAGGGCGGCTGTGGGGGGGGTTCGCGCGTGTTTCGGGGTGTTTGTTTTTCCGCGTGGGGGTGGCCCTGGGTGTGTGCCCCTCGTCCAGCCCTGGGTGTGTGCGCCCGCGGGGTGCGCGGCTGCGTGGGAGCCGCACAAGTTGCGGGTGAGCCGGGAGCCGGCTGGGAGCGGGGCTGTGCGGGAGCCGGAGCGGCGGCGAGAGAGGGGCGCCGGGGGTGAGGAGGGGTGTCCGCGTGGGGTCCGTGTGACACCGGAGTGCGGGGACGCGAGTGGGGTGCGTGTGTCTGTGTGCGGAGCTGTGTGTGTGTGACGGGTGTGCGTGCGGTGAGTGTGTCAGCGAGCTCCCAGTGTGTCAGCCAGCTCCGAGTGTGTCCGCCAGCTCCGAGTGTGTCAGCCGGCTCCGACCGTGTTAGCGGGTTTCGAGTGTGTCAGCAGGCTCCGAGTGTGTCAGAGGGCTCTGAGTGTGTCAGCGAGCTCCGAGTGTGTCAGGGGGCTCCGAATGTGCCAGTGGGCTTCGAGTGTGTCATCGAGCTCTGAGTGTGTTAGCGGGTTTCGAGTGTGTCAGCGGGCTCTGAGTGTGTTAGCGGGCTCTGAGTGTGTCAGCGAGCTCCCAGTGTGTCAGCGGGCTGTGTTTGCCCGCGCCGCGGAGGATCCCTGTTTCCCGGTACGCGGGGCTGAGCGCGGAGCCGGTGCCGGCAGAGCGGCTCCCGTGGTTTTGTCACGGGTGTCTGCGTGCGTGTGTCCGTGCGTGTGTCCGTGTGTCCGCGCGTGTCTCTGTGCGTGTGCTCGGGGCTGCCGGAGCCGCCTGGGGGAGCGGGGGCTCCGCTCGCTCCGTGCCCGCAGCCGGAGCCTCAGCCCGGGCAGCGCCGCGGGGAGCGGGGGAGCCTCGGCCGGGGGGCCGGCCGCGCACCCGGCCTCCATCCTCCCTCCCGGCCCCCGCAGCGGCACCAGCGGCTCCGCGGAGCGCTGCGAGGCCGGGGGGACCCTGTGCCCCTTCCCCAAGGTCCCCCCGACCCTCCCGGCTGCATCCCCCGAGCGGAGCCGCTCCCGCCGTGCCCGGCTCCCAGCGGCCCTGCCGGGCTGTTCCAGGCCCGCGACATTTCTGTCTTGCCCCAGGGCCGCTCTCCAGCCGGGCTGGAGGGTGGGATGGTGGCGGGAGGGGACAGAGCCCGGAGTGGCCGTGGGGAACCCACGGCTGGAGGATGAGGGTGCCGCTCCAGGGAGGCTCTGACAGGTCTCTGCCTCGCCGGCTGCCAGACTTGGAAGGGATGTGGAGAAGGCAGCAAGAGGAGGGAGGGCCCTGGGCTTCGCCGGCTTTTCATCGCCGTCCAGCTCCTCAGGGATGGTTTTGGGGTGACGCTGTTGCCAGGCCAGCGGAGTTCCTGCTCGCGGGGTGCTCCGGCTCCCGGCGCTCGGGCCCAGCCTGCAGAATCGCCGAGCAGCCGCAGTGGCGGCCGGAGCTGGAGCAAACCCTGGGGCGTGCTACGGAATACCCAGGATTCAGCCCAGCCGTGCCTTCGGCGCAGGACTGACCATCGGCGGCCGCGTTCTCGGCTCGCACGGTCCCTGTGCTCCGCGTGGAGCTGCGATGAGCTGTTTGCTGCTCGCTCCAGCTCCGGGTGGCGGAGCCGGGCTGGGGGGAGCGTGGAGGGGGGATTAGCACTTGTGTGCTCAGTGCAGGCTTTGGACAGACTTGTGAGCCGTGGCTCCGAGCCACGCAATCAGCGGCTGGGAGCGAGGAGAGGCTGGACTTTGGTGCCCATTGCCGAAGCGGCGCTGCCTCCCGTGGAACGGGGCCAGCAGGCTGTGGGAATCACAGGGAGCACAGGCTTGTTCAAGCAGTTGCTTAAATTCGCGGCGCTTTATAACCTCTCTCTCATTAAGGCTTGTTTTTTTTTGGTGGGGATGGCTGAATTCTGTCGGATTTTGCATGCCACTGTCCTCCGAGAGCTTCCCAGTCATGCATTAAGCAGCGTGACTAACGCCTCTCTCATGTGGTTCAGTCTCTCTCACACACTCCCCGTAGGGAGAATTGTGTGTGCGGAGGAATAGTTGTTTTGGGAGGGGCTTTTATTTTTAAGTGCTCTGTGCTTTGCCAGCAGGTTGGAAAAAGGTGCCTGGCACCAGAGAAGAAAGTGTGGGATGGTCCTTAGATCCCATGGGAAAATAGCCTGGTGCCTTGGACTGGCCCCTGGGAAGCCTGTGTCTCCTGCACAGACGTGCTTTTGGAGGCTTCCTCCTCCTCCTCCTCCTCCTCCTCACGCCCAGCTCTGGGCTCTCACGTCTTCACCGTGTCATTCACACCCCTGGGTGCCTGGGTGCCGAGCAGGATTCCTGACCCTGCTGATTCCTTATCCTGCCCAGCCCAGGGCCCCTCGTGCCTTCCAGCAGTGCCCCTCAGGCTCTCAGGCCTTTTCCTCCTCACAGCTCCCTGCTCTGCAGAGTGCCTCCCTTCACCTGCAGGAACGGGGCTTGGGCTCAGAGTCCAGCCCTGGTTTTGGAGCAGAAATCCTGGGTGCTGGGCACCTTTGGGTGACACCCTTCCTCCTCCAGGCTGGCATAGGGCTCCTGGCGTTTCCAGCTGCTGGGCCCTCCCTCCCAGCTCCCTCAGCCGTGTGAGGCACCAGCATTGCCTTGAGACTTTCCCCTTTCCTGGTGATCTTTCACCTCACACCAGGGCTTAGTCAGGATGTGGCTACGTCACCAGCACCAGGCCCAGCCCAGTGCAAACAGCCCAGCAGCGGGCACGGTGCCTCTCCCAGCCCGGGCATCCTCCAGGAGCCCTTTCCCAACAGCTGGAGCTGCCCATGTTTCCTGTCCTCACTCACAGGAGCACAGACCTGGTGGATCTCAGGGCAGGTTCACCCCATGGAGGCAGCTGGGTGAGGGGGGTCTGGTGTGAGCACACCCGGGGGGTGGCAGACATGAGCGTGACCCAGGTGCCAGTGCCCCCGCACGGGTGACATCACGCACATGCACTGGGGCATGCGCACACGCGGGCACACGCGGGCACACGCGCTGTGTGGGGCGTGCACACGTGCAGGAGCCCGAGCTCACACCCGGGGCACGGGCCCAGAGCGGGCAGGGATGTGCTCCTTGCCCCGTGGGACACAGCTGCACACCCTGCCAGGGCACAGGTGGGACAGTGTGCCTTTAGCTATGGACACAGGGCCGTGCTCCGGGCAGGTGCGCACTCTGGGACGCTCACGGTGCACACTCAGCACGGACACACACATGTGTGTGCACAGACTGCCCGTGCTAATGCAAAAATCTGTTGTGTTTCTGCCTGGCTCCTGACCTCCTCCATCCTCAGCCCGCTCCAGGGATGGAAGATGTCCTGCTCTCTCTCCTCATCCCTTCCTCCTGGAGTCACACATCCCTTGCTGGTTGGGGCAGCTCTGCACGGCCTCAGCCAGCTGAGGATGGATTTGCTCTGCACAAAGGAAGGGGCAGGACAAGCAGAGGCAAGCTTGGCTTCGGGGCCACAGGCTCTTCTCCAGGCACAGAGATGTATTTCCACTGCAGAGGCAGAGCTCATCTCATCCATGTCCCCGTGTCCATGGGGAAGCAGAGGGGTGGAGGGACCGGGAGCTGTTGGCTTGTGGGAAGTACCAAAGAGCACAGTGCAGGATGTTCCACATGCTGATGATCCATACCATGCCAGGCTAACCAGGAACTGGGCACTTGCAGTGTGGCACCACGGAGGGGGATGGTGATGGAGCGCTTGCCCATGGAGTGTTTGCTTGTCCTTGGGTGCAGAGTGTGGAGAGAGGGAGTGATGGGAGCGGCGAGAGCCGGATGATGCTGTGGGGCCTTGCCAGATGTTTGTGGCTGTTCATTTTAGGGCATCCAGTCTCTGGGCTTCTGGGTGCCAGTGAGCTGTGTTGAACCACTTTATGCTCACAGCTCAGCAGAAGCTCCTGGACCCTGGAGGCGGAAAATGTGTTCCCAGAATGGAACAGGAAAGCTGGTGGCCAAGCATAGCACCTTCAGGGGCTTGGTGGCAGGTCATGTGGCTTGGCACAGGAGGGGACAGCCTGTGGGGATGGCATGGCCTGGGCAGTGTGTGGGCACAGGGGAGAGGTGCCAGTGACGGGGACAGCGGTGCAGCGGTGCAGGGGTGCAGCGGTGTAGGGGTGCAGTGGTGCAAGGGTGCAGCGGTGCAGGGGTGTCTCTGCAATGCAGGGGGGCAGCGCTCCCGGCAGTGTGCTGCAGCAGTGAGGTGGGCACCGGCACAGGGTGGGCACCCAGTGCGTGCCATGTCCCAGACTGGAGTGGGAGGAACGGGAAGGAACAGTGTGTCTGCAGTGAGGAAGGGAACAGGAGCTGCTGGCGCAGGGTGTGGGGTTGCCTAGTGACTGTGCAGCAAGGGGGATGCTGTGCTGCCGTTGCAGTGTGCTGGGGCTGGGCACTGCCGGGGGCTGCCTGGGGGCTCCTGCACTGCAGCACAGCCTGGGCAGGGACCCCGTGTCCCTCTGACTGCCGGGACACCGGGGGTGGCAGTGCTCCACAGGCCGTGCAGGAGAGATGAGGCTCAGGGCCCTGCATCCCTGCAGTGCCGGGTGGGTGGTGCCTCTGTACCTGGCAGTGCGAGGCTGGCAGTGCCATTGTGCTGGCAGTGCAGCGAGGGCAGCGCTGCTCTGTTCCTGCCACAGCGGTGCCTCACGGCCCTGCAGTGCTGGAGGGGTGGCAGCCCTGCATCATCACCCCATGGCCCTGCAGTGCCCTGCAGCCCTGCAGTGCTGGACAGGCAGCATCCCTGGAGCGCCTCATGTTCCTGCAGTGCTGGATGGGCAGCAGTCCTGCAGTGTCCGGTGTCCCCAAAGTGATGGCTGCTGCTGTTCCTGCAGTGCAGGCAGTGATGGATGGCAGGGAGCTGTATGCTGGCAGTGGCCCGTGTCCCTGCAGTGCTGGGTGCATGGCAGCCCTGCATCCCTGCAGTGCCCTGTGTCCCTGGGTGGGTGTCAGTCCTGTATCCCTTCAATGTCCCATGGTCCTGCAGTGCCGTGTGGATGTCAGCCCCACATCTCTGCGGTGATGGATGGGTGTCAGCCCCACATCCCTGCGGTGCCAGATGGGTGTCAGCCCCACATCTCTGCAGTGCCAAATGGGTGTCAGCCCCACATCCCTGCCGTTCTGAATGGGTGTCAGCCCCACATCCCTGCAGTGCTGGACGGTGTGAGCCCCACATCCCTGCAGAGCAGGCAGAATTCCCTGTTTGGTGCTCTCGTTTCTGCAGGGCTGGCAGCTGCGTGCAGTGCCCGTGTGTCCCTGCCGTGCGTGGCAGGCAGTGCCCCTGCACTGGTGGCACACAATGCTCCTGTGTTTGGGTGGTGAGAAGCTGTCTCAGAGTCTGGCCGGCTCCCATCGGGTTGTTGGCAGCAGGCTGCCTGCAGTCCACCCTGTTAGTGTGCCTCGTTGGGTCTAATTACAGTTGGTGTGGTGACGAAGAGGGTGGACAGTGGCAGGAGTGGCTTCCTGCAAGTGGCAGGGCTGAGGTTTCAATGACAGGGTTACTCACTCCAGCAGGGCGTTGCAGGAACATTGCAAGCTGGGACGGGTCCTTCAGGGCACTGGAGGCTGCCAGGAGCCGGCCCCAGCAGCCCCTTCCCTTGGGGAGCCGTGCCAGGACCGAGTGTGGCCCCGCATGGCGCAGGGGTAGCCAGGGAAGGGGGCTGGTCACTAACCTCCGGTGTCTGTGTCTCCTCCAGCTCCCCTGCAGCGCAGGATGAACCCGCTGGCATCCTGCCTGGGCCTGTGGCTCCTGTGCCAGCTCCCTGCCCTGGCCTCGGGGACACGTGCGGTCTACAAAGTGCAGGAGGAACAGCCCCCCAACACCCTCATAGGGAGCCTGGCCTCCGACTATGGCTTACCGGACATGGGGCACCTCTACAAGCTGGAAGTGGGGGCCCCGTACCTGCGTGTGGATGGCAAGACTGGGGACATCTACACCACAGAGACCTCCATCGACCGGGAGAGCCTGCGGGAGTGCCAGCACCTCCTGCCCGGAGAGCCCTGCTTCCTGGAGTTCGAGGTGTCCATCACCAACCTGAACGCCAACAGCAGCCCACGCCTGCTCGAGGGGCAGATTGAGGTGCTCGATATCAATGACAACACCCCCAACTTCGCCTCGCCTGTCCTCACCCTCTCCATCCCTGAGAATACCAACGTCGGGACGCTCTTCCCCATCCCGCTGGCCATGGACCGGGACTCGGGCCCCAACGGCGTTGCCTCTTACGAGCTGATGGCTGGTCCGGAGGCGCAGGAGCTCTTTGGGCTGCAGGTGGCCGAGGACCAGGATGAGAAGCAGCCCCAGCTGATCGTCATGGGGAACCTGGACCGGGAGCAGTGGGACTCCTACGATCTGACCATCAAGGTGCAGGATGGGGGGAACCCCCCTCGGGCGAGCAGTGCCCTGCTCCGCATCACTATCCTGGACATGAATGACAATGCACCCAAGTTTGAGAAGGCCCTGTACGAGGCAGAGCTCTCTGAAAACAGCCCTGTGGGGCACTCCGTCCTCCAGGTGAGTGCTCAGGACTCTTCTCCTCACCGTTTCCCCTCCTGCCTGGCTGCAGGGACAACCCAGGAGCACTGACAGGGCTGTGGTTCCTGCAGGGAGGAGGGAAGGTTGGATGGAGGAGCTCACAGTGTTACGCAGGGCCAGTGGGCAGGCAGGTCCCAGGGGTATCACATCTGCTCAAGTGAGGTTGGAGAGGGTGCACAGGAAGGCGCAGCTGGAGTGGGGCTGCAGGACACGGCTGAGGGGCAGCAGCAGAGCTGCAGGGAGGGAGCAGGGTTCTGGTTACTGGGAGGGCTGGGACCTGAGGGCCACTGGGAGCCTGGCTTGGGGCCAGCGCGGTCTCAGTGCTGCCCGCAGACAAGACATAGAGCCTTTCATAAGTTGCATTCCCTTGGCCGCTCCATGGAAACTCAGGAGGTGGGGATAGGGAGCATCCCTGCTGCCCGTGCGCGGGGCTCGCCACGCTCCGGAGGTGCCCTGCTGTCTGCAGGGAGCGGGGGCTCTGCCTCGGCTCGGGCAGCGCTGCAAACTGGCCCAGAGAGCCCACGGGGCTGGATCTTGGTGGATTTGGCTTGGAGGGGGCATTGAGATGATAGTAGTCGACATCTGTTTATCTGCAGCTGCCATCTTAATAAGCGGAGCGCGGCCAGCTCTCATCTGCCTGCTAATTCTGATGTGAATTTTTTAAGAATTCATTTTTCACTGTTAAGAGAATGGGAGTTGGAAGCAGATAAGGGAGCTGCATGGCCGGGAGGAGAATGGGCTGAGATGCTGCTGCTGCCATTGCTCAGCTTTTATCTTTCAGGGGGAAAATGACTTCCGCCTGTTTTGTGAGTGGAGGTAAAAGGTGGAATTTACATTTAACAACTTTCGTTCTCCATCCAAATCTGCTGAGCAAGATAACGGCGGAGCAGCAAATGGTGCAGAGAAGAGGCTGCTCAGAGAGCCGATTAGGGAGGCAAATGTTAGACAAACCTCATCTTCTTTAGAAAGCAAATAATAGGTGTAGAGGCAGGTTTATGGGGATGCAGGGCTCCTGGCAGGGATGGACGGTGCTGTGCGGGGCTCAGGCAGCCCCAGTCCCTGTGTGGCTGCATCCCCAGATGCCGCGATGGAGCTGCTGCAGCTCCGCACAGGGTTGCCTCCCTCCTCGCCCTCACCTGAGCCAGGCAGCTGCTCCAGCCCCTCCTCGGGGGCACAGCTGGAGCAGTCCCTCCCTGCTGCTGGCTGGGTCTCAGCGGCACGGTTCCATGGTTCCGGAGGATTCCCTGCGTGCCGGAGCCGGCTGGGAGGGGAGCGCAGCCGACCGGCCCAGCCGGTTTCTCCGGAAGAGCGAGGCAGAGCCTCCGTGCCCGAGGGTGGCTCCCAGCTGCTCTGCTGGTCCCAGGCTCTTTGCCCCACAGTCCTTGGCCCCAGAAGAGGAAATCCTGGTTTTTCCCCCCGGCTGTCCTCAAGGAAGGCCGCGGCGGTTTGCGGAGGGGCTCGCTGCGCCGTGCCCTTGTCCTGCTCACCGCTTGTCCCTCTGTCCCCCAGGTGAAAGCCAACGATTCGGACCAGGGCGCCAACGCCGAGATCGATTACTCCTTCCACCAGGCCTCGGACATGGTGCGGCGGCTGCTGCGCCTGGACCGCGCCACGGGGCTCATCACCGTGCAGGGCCCCATCGACCGCGAGGACATCGGCACCCTCAAGTTCTCTGTCATGGCCAAGGACAAGGGCGCCAACCCCAAGAGCGCCCGCACGCAGGTGGTGGTCACCATCAAGGACATGAATGACAACGCGCCCTCCATAGAGATCCGGGGCATAGGGTTGGTCACCCACCAGGATGGCATGGCCAACATCTCGGAGGACGTGCCAGTAGAGACAGCAGTGGCTCTGGTGCAGGTGTCCGACCGAGATGAGGGTGAAAATGCTGTGGTGACCTGTGTGGTGGCCGGGGATGTCCCATTCCAGCTGCGCCAGGCCAGTGAGACAGGGAGTGACAGCAAGAAGAAATACTTCCTGCAGACCACCACACCATTGGACTACGAGTCGGTGAAGGAGTACACAATTGAGATTGTGGCCGTAGACTCAGGGAACCCACCCCTCTCCAGCACCAACTCCTTGAAGGTGCAGGTGATGGATGTCAATGACAACGCCCCTGTCTTCAGCCAGAGCTTCACTGAGGTGGCCTTCCCTGAGAACAACGAGCCCGACGAGCTGGTCATGGAGGTGAGTGCCACTGATGCTGACAGCGGCTCCAATGCCAAGCTGGTTTATTCCCTGGTGACAGACCCCTCCTCCAAGGGCGCCTTCACCATTGACCCCGACTCCGGGGAGATCCGGGTGAAGGCGGTGCTGGACCGAGAGCAGCGGGAACGCTACGAGTTCTTGGTGGTGGCAGAAGATAAGGGCAGCCCTAGCAAGCAGGGCACAGCATCTGTGGCCATCAACGTCATGGACAGGAATGACAACGACCCCAAGTTCATGCTGAGCGGCTACAACTTCTCAGTGATGGAGAACATGCCACCCCTCAGCCCTGTGGGCATGGTGACGGTCATCGATGCTGACAAAGGAGAAAATGCCCGGATCCAGCTGTCAGTGGAGCAAGACAACGGGGATTTTGTCATCCAAAATGGCACTGGCACCATCCTCTCCAGCATCTCTTTCGACCGGGAGCAGCAGAGCACCTACACCTTCCGACTCAAGGCGGTGGACGGTGGGGATCCCCCCAGGTCTGCCTACGTAGGGGTGACCATCAACGTCTTGGATGAGAATGACAATGCCCCCTTCATCACTTCCCCCTCCAACGCCACCTACAAGCACATCTTGCCCCACACCAGCCCCGGCCAGCAGGTGAGCAAGGTCAAGGCGGAGGACATCGACTCGGGCATCAACGCCGAGCTGATCTACAGCATCACAGGAGGAAACCCCTTCGAGCTCTTCCAGATCTCCCCGCAGAGCGGTGACATCACTCTGGAGAAGGAGATCCTGCGCAAGCACCATGGCCTGCACCGCCTGGTCGTGCGCGTCAACGACAAGGGCAAGCCCTCGCGGCACGGCACGGCCCTGGTGCACTTCTACGTCAACGAGACGCTGGCCAACCGCACGCTGCTGGACACGCTGGTGGGGCACAGCCTGGACACCCCACTGGACATCGACATCGCCGGCGACCCCGAGTACGAGCGCAGCAAGCAGCGGAGCAACATCCTCTTCGGGGTGATTGCTGGCATCGTGGCTGTCACCCTGGTCATCGTGCTCGTGGTCCTGGTGCGCTACTGCCGGCAGCGTGAGGCCAAGAGCGGCTACCAGGCGGGCAAGAAGGAGACCAAGGACCTGTACGCACCCAAGCAGGCCAGCAAGGGCGGGAAGAGCAAGAACAAGGTGAAGAAGAGCAAGTCTCCCAAGCCACCCAAGCCCACGGAGGATGAGGAGGAGACGGGGCTGCAGAAATCGCTCAAGTTCAACCTCATGAACGACTCTGTCAGCGACAGCCCCCGGATCCACCTGCCCCTGAACTACCCTCCGGGCAGCCCGGACCTGGGCCGCCACTACCGCTCCAACTCGCCGCTGCCCTCCATCCAGCTGCAGCCTCAGTCACCCTCCGCCTCCAAGAAGCACCAAGTGGTGCAGGACCTGCCGGCCACCAACACCTTTGTTGGCACCGGGGACAACAACTCGACTGGCTCCGAGCAGTACTCGGACTACAGCTACCGCACCAACCCCCAGAAATACACCAACAAGCAGGTAGGAGAGCTCATCCTGAGGCCGGCAGCGGCGCCCCCGCTGCACCGGGGAGCCATCTGGACAGAGGTGTGGGAGTGAGCGTGGACTAGCCCCCAGCCCTGCATGTGCGGCCCAGGGGGCTGGCGTTGGACTACCCCGGAGCCGAGCCACAGAGCCTGGGCGTGGTGCAGGGAGGGGATGGGGATGCTGTGGGGAGGCCAAAAACTGTCCGAGCCCTTGTCCGAGCGCCCGGGGCTGGGTCCTGGTGGCGCTGCCTGGGTGACGGTGACGCGAAGGGTGCTGCATGTGTGTGGCTCTGCATGTGGGGCTCCGGGCAGGGAATGCCACCCGCCTGCGTCCCCTTTGGGGACCACTCTAACAGCACCAAGGAGGGTGATGCCCACCCTCCCATCCCTCCCTCTGCTTGGGCTGGCTCATGGGGAAGAGGGACTGGTCCTGCTCCTGCCACAGCTGGGTTCCAGCCCTACCCTGCTCCAGGGAGCAGTTGGGAAGGCTCTGGCCTCACTGCCTGGCTCTGCTGGTGTGGCTGAGCCTGCCACCATCGCTGCACCAGAGTGCCTCAAAGGGAGCTGTGGCTGCCTGGGCAGGTGGGGCTGGGCGGAGGAGCACAGCTCTGCCTTTTTCCCAGGCTCAGGCTCCGGCTTCCCCCAGGCTCGGGCCCTCTGCCACAGTCGGCACGGTGAAATCCGGGCTTCCCATAGCACGAGCACCGAGCCTGGAGCTGTAGCTCTGCAGGAGAGGGTCTGCAGATCCTGGTGGCACAGGAATGTCCCATCCGTGTGGCAGGGCTGGGGCTGTGCTGGGGCCGGGGGATAGGGGCACTGAGGTCTCTGCTGCGGTCGGGTCACTGCTCTTGGTGTTGCCGGGGGGGTCTCTGCGTGCAGAAAGGGTGGAGGCAGGTCTTGGCTGCTCGCTGGTGTGCACTGGAGCTTGGAGCTGAGCCACGAGGCCGTGGCCTGAGTGTGGAGCTTGCAGGACCCTCTTTCTCGGGCTGTCTGGCCACTTAGGAGCTTGCACCACATTTCTGCTTTGGCACTTCTGTCTTTAACCAGCCAGGGAGGGAGAAGGGGAGCGAGTGCCTGTGGCTTTGTCTTCTTCCTGGGGCCCCACGGGTGAGGACCACCCACTCTCCCCCGTGCTGTACCCCCTGTGCCCTATGAGACCCCTGCCCTCCTCTTTGTACCCCAGTGAGCGGCAGGCTGGGCTCCTGCCGTGGGGCTGAGCTCAGCTGCCCTGTTGGATTTGACTTCAATAAAGTTTTCTATTTTTGACCGGTTGTGCCTTATTTTCCCTGCTGCCCCTGAGAAGGCTCTCCCAGCAATTTCCCAGGCATATTTTCCATGTCCTTGGCCACTGGAGCACTCAGGCCCTGTGGAGGCCAGAAGTGATGCTCATGTGAGCTGCCCATCTCCACAAACCCTCCACCACACCCCAGCATGGTCAGTCCAGAGGCCTCATGGTGCTGACACTTCATCCCCAGGTTGACATGCCCCGTGTCTAGTCAGGTCATCTGAAGATGTCCCTCCAGGACAGGGTTCCCAACACCTGCACACACACACACACACACACACACACACCTGTGTGGATGTGGACGCAGTCCGAGCCATGGCCCAGCTTCCATTTCGTTTCACACCAACATCCTCCCTCAAAGCTTCTCCTGGTTGATCCCCGCATCCTCTTGAGCCACACTCGTGTCCCACAGCCAGAGCATGGAGGAGCAGATCCCCGTGCCTGGCTAGCCTGACCCAAATCCCTCTGGCACGGGCTGGCAGCCGCCGCTCCTGCGCCGCAGTGCTGCAATGAGGGCGCACGCGGTTGCAGATGGAGCCTTGGCGTGTCACATCCCGGTGCTCCCCCACCCTGGGAGGGGATGGGAAGGAGAGATCCTCTCACGAAGGCTTGCTGGAGCCAGGTGGTCCTGCTCCCCACACAGAGGGTTCTGCCCTGAATGGGATCTCCTGACAGGATGGATGGGGGTGATGCCAATGCCATGGGGCTCGCTCGGGGTCTTGTCTCCAGCTGTTTGGAGAAAAGATGCACCCTGGTAGGCAGGAACAGTCCAAGACCCCTCTCCCACCATGCCACCACCCCATCTCAGGGCCCCCTCCCTGGCCACGCATTCCTGTTTCTCCTGGTTTTTCTTCCAAACTGGGACACCCATCCCTGCTCCTGTCACAGCAGTTCACCTCTTCCCCAGGGCCTCCAGTGGCCTCACCAGGCTGCTGGGGCTGAGGAGCTCCGGCGCTGGGAGAGATTAGATCAGCCGGGGAAACCAGTGGTTCTGGCTTCGGTGGTTTGAGCCCTGTGCCAGCCTTGGCTCTCACAGCCTCCTCGTTTGTTTTGCTAACAGCATAAGGTTTTATCTTGAACCATCCAGGAAGTGTCTGGGCCTCCTGGGCAGGCAGGGCTGGGACCCGCAGGGAGATGCGATGGCTGCAGAGGAGGAAAGGAGACACCAGCAACCACCTCAATAAGTGCTCCCCGCAGGGCTGGGCCGGGCAGTCTGGGGGCTTGGCTCAGCCCTGCTATCTGCTTCCCTTTGGGAACTTTCTGAGAAAAGTTTCCCTCCCTTCCTCGTCCTCGGCAGCTCTTTGATGAACCTGGGCTGAGAACTCAGGCACTGGCGTGGGGAGCGGCTCTTTCTTCTGCCTGGCTCCCAGGCTCCATCCCTGTTTTACTGGGAGGGGATATTCTCCATCCTTTCCCAAGATCTGCCCCGGGTCCTTGCAGCCCCCCAGCACCCGGGAAGGCAGCTGGAGTGGTGTGAACTTGAGCGAGCTCAGCAGAGGTTCCTGCACCTGCCCGCGGGCTCGGAGCACGGTGCAGCATTAATTACTCTCTGCGGGAGGGGAGGAGAGGAATATTGTAGCTGTAATGGACAGAAATGAAATCGTCTCGTTTGAGAATTTAGCTCAGAGTCTCCATAAATTGCAGATTTAGGTGCTGGCAGATGTCTGGGAAAGTCTCCCACTGTCCTGGGTCAGTGGGTTTTCTCAAGGCCATTCACGTGGAATGAGCTGATAAATGGATCCAGCAAGGAGCTGCAGATGGAGCTGAGGGTTCATGGGGGACCTGCCCTGCTTTCCCCCAGTTCCAGAGAGAAGCTGTGCTGGGAGCAGCTCCTCCACACCGTGAATCAGCTCCTGCTGCTGGGATCCACGGGGCTTGGGTCAGATTTGGCTCTGCCTGGCTGAGATGGAATGAGGGAAGAGTTGTTGAGGGGCTGCAGCTCCCTGGATCTGCTGGGAAGAGTGGCTGTGTCAAAGCACAGCAGCTTGTGAGAATCACCGGGGCACCTGGGGGAGCACAGGACAGGGTGGGAGTAGGCAGTGACCATGCTGGAGCATTGCTGAGGATGCTGAGGGCACCAGGGGGGAGGCAGGAACGTGTGGTGGCTCCTGGTGCATCTGTGCTGGGCACTTGGGTTGATGAGTGAGAGCACTGTGGGGCATTTGGGACTTCAAAAATGAGGAGCTGCAGCCACGGGAGAAGAGCAGCCCCTGGTACAGGCTGGGTGTGCAGGCAGAGCCAGCGTGGGTGTGTGCAGGCTGTGCTGCAGGGGGAGGTGACAGCGGGGTGTACCCAGCCCGTGCCCCCACAAGGGGTAGGTGACAGTGGGATGCTCACTGCCAGCACCCCGTGCAGGTGGCACTGGGGAGAGTGTCACTGCCAGCACCCTGTGCAGGTGGCACTGGGGAGAGTGTCACTGCCAGCACCCTGTGCAGGTGGCACAGAGGGCAGCGTGGTCTCAGTGACAAGGGGAGCAGGGACAGGCTGTGTGTCAGGGGCAGGGGATGCAGGGGATGCAGCTGGCACAGGGCAGGGTACAAGCCCTGTCCCCAAGGAGGTGGCAGTGGGGACTGTGCAGCCTGGGCTGTGGCAGGAGGTGGCACAGGGGGTGCACAGCCCCAGGAGGTGGCACAGGGGGTGCACAGCCCCAGGAGAGGGGCACAGGGGGTGCACAGGCTGTGCTGTGTGCAGGATGGCAGTGGGGTGGGCACAGTGGCAGCAGGGGACAGCAGGGTGGGCAGGCTAGGCCAGGTGACAGCTCTGTAGGCAGTGTCCTCAAGGACACGGTGGCACTGATTGTCCCCAACACATCAGGGAGGTCATTGGGTCTCTCCTGCCTGGCAGTACCTGGCCCCTCCAGCACTGGGGACCTCGTCCTTTCTCCCTTGAAGGCTCCCCCAGCCTGTGCTCCTGGGGCTGGGTCACAGCACTGCCCAGTTCCCCTCTTGCCCTGCCCTCCTCTTCCCTTCCCTCCTCACAGCCTCAGCCTCTCCCCTGCCTGATGCCCTTGGAGCCAGCATTGCCCTTTCCTAGCTTGGACCTGGAACTCCTGGGGAACTCCTCTTTTTCCCCCTCTAGATCTTCCTGCTCCTTTCCCAGCTGTGTCTGCTCCTCTCCACCCTCTCTCCTGATCTCTCCCTTCTCCCTGGCTCTCCCCAGTCTCTGCTGACCGTGCTGGCTGCAGTACAGAGGGATGCTGAGCCCTCCCAGCGCAGGGCTGAGCCCCTGGCTGGCTGACTGTGGATCCTGGGGGATGAAAGCCCTGGCTGTGTGTGCAGCCTCCTGCTCCAAGGCTCCCTGATTGATATTCCCAGCACTGCTCTGCCCGCTCGGGCTCTCAGCTGCAGTGCTGCTCCCTGGAGCCGGGCCCAGCCCTGCAGGCTGCAACAGCCAGCACCAGAACCTGGGGCAGAACCTGGGGCTGGGACAGGGCGTGTGCCCATGGTCCTGTGTGTCCCCATGGCCTCTGTGTGTCCCCATGGTCTCTGTGTGTCCCCATGGTTCTTGTGTGTCCCTGTGTGTCCCCATGGTCCCTGCGTGTGTCCCCGTGGTCCCTGTGTGTCCCCATGGTTCCTGTGTGTCCCCATGGTCCCTGTGTGTCCCATGGTCCCTGTGTGTCCCTGTGGTCTCTGTGTGTCCTCTGTCTGTCCCTGTGTGTCCCCATGATCCCTGACTGTCCCCATGGTCCCTGAGTGTCCATGTGTGTCCCC